AAAGATTCTGTTTTATTAATATAACTATTATGTGAATCATCGAAGCCCAACCATTTCACGAAGACTTTGTTACCACGTTTATGTGAAACTTTTTCCACCAGGTAATTATCAGGCTGTATTTTTTTTTGCAACTCATCCTCATAAAATGGGTCTACCATTTAAATCCTCCAAAATGTATGTGGTTGAGTTTGTAATTTTTACTTTCACAACACACTTCCTTTATCAAAAACATGTTTTGCTTTACTTATTCTTACTATATCGCCAATGGAAAACTTTTTAGGTTTTGTTGCTAATTTTAAATGTGTAAATGTAAACTTTAAAACTTCTCTTTCATTTTCTTCACAAACATCAATTGGTTTCATATTAAATGTTCTATGTTTTGTATTATTATAATTTGAATCAATTTGTGGCAATATATCAACCCATTTATATGACCCATTTAAACTAAAGTATTTAAATAGGCGTTCTTTTACAGTCCTTATAACACGCTCGGCGATTGCAGCTTTTTTACAACTAAATGTATTATAGTGATTTATTGAATATTTTTGCATAAGTTCATTAAACTTACTATTAAAAAATTCCTTGCCCTGATCAGTCTGTAAGTTTTGTGGACATCTTTCTTTCAATATTAAATTAAAAGCTTTTGTAACTTCTTCCCCAAATATTTTGAAAAACATTCAATAACAATCAATATGTATTTAAAATTTTTATTATTTGATGCATACATGTCCATCTGCCATAAGTCTGATTGCCAAAGGTCATCAATGCCCTTAATAATGTTTTTCGACGTTTAAAATTTTTTCTTATAGGCCTATGAAGTTCATTAACAAGTTTAATTTTTTCCTTGGTGTGTTTCATGATTATGGTGTGGTGGTGGTTATCCCAAGGATAATGAGTTAAATATCCCTTTGGTAAATAAAAAAGTTCCTGGTCTAATGAAGGATGAACTGAATGGTCTAATCATGACACATTTCGTGGGGTTGCGCTCAAAAATGTATACATATAAAGTTATTAATAATAAATGTATAAAAAAATCAAAGGGGGTTAAATATTCTGTTGTTGAAAACCTCACATTTAAAGAGGTCTCAAATGTTTACGAGAAAGTGTTGTTAAAATAATAAAGCAGCGAACAATTAAATCAAATGCGCATAATGTGTTTAGTATTGAACAGAGTAAAATTGGTTTAAGTCCATATGATGATAAAAGGCATTTATTATCAAATTTAACGGATACGTTACCTCATGGGCACTTCAAGATTAATAATATTATGTAATAATTATTTATAATATTAATAAATATATTTTGTTTATTTTAAATTATTGTGTTTTTAAAATCAATCATCATCAGTATAATTAAAACTCAAGCCCACATTCCATCGAGAATAATTGGAAATCATAAGTCGTTGTGTAAATTAATCGTTTTTCAGCTTTAATAGCTTCTTTATATCTAATAATCAAAGCATTTAGATTAGAATCATAAGAATCAAATTCCGAATCATTACTACTACTACCCATTTTATTTTATTTAAAATTTTTATTATTTGATGCATATATGTCCATCTGCCATAAGTCTGATTGCCAAAGGTCATCAATGCCCTTAATAATTGTTTTTCGACGTTTAAAATTTTTTCTTATAGGCCTATGAAGTTCATTAACAAGTTCTTCGATTTGCTTTCTAAAATCTAAAATGTTTGCTGCTGTTTTATTTCCTTTAAGTTCACATCTTGAGTCTTTTGAAGGAATTTAATTTGCCTATCCAAGTCATTACGTGCATTTACATGCGATCTTGAAATATGCTTTAAAGAATTCAAATCATTGAAAATTATTGTTTTTTGTTTATAAAGTTCTTTAATTTGCTCTTTAAACTTTTTTAACTCATCGGTATTTTGCGTTAAAATAGCTAATTCTTTATTTAATGTAATTTTTAATTTATCTTGTTTTTTACTATCGAGGTTTTCAATTTCCTTTTCTATTTTTGCATCCGATTGCTTGAGTGCTTTTAATGTCTCTTGCTTAAATTAGTTTAGTGATTTTATTGTATCAGCATAAAAATTTGCATATATTTGATTAACATAACCCATATTAGTAGCATCTGCATTTAAAGTTGGTGATTTTACATTACATATTTTTAGGGTTTCTATATCTATATTACCATCAGGAGTATATTTTAGTAAATTGTTACCATACTGTAATTTTGATAGTATCGAATTTTGATTAGAATGGTTAAGAGATTGACCAAACTTGTTAAGCGGCATTGTTAAACAGATAGTAAAACTATGTTTGTTTAATATATAACACCCGCTTCTTTTAGTTCATTAATAATTGCTGTAATTTCATTATCATTTGAGGTATTTCCAGCATCCTTGGAGGCCACTAATAATTTTAATCATTTAACAATCTCATTAATATTATCCCAATAAATATATTCTATAGGTTTATTATTGTAAGTTAAAATATAAAATTAATTATTTTTATGCTTGCGATAACCACTTCCGCTAACAGATTTTACTAATGGTTTTATTATGCTTTAATATTTTTTTAAATTAGTTCCTCTTAGTACACCTGTTGATTCAAAGTCTCGTTTATGTACGTTTGTTAATAATAAATTTTTTTGTATTTTTGCAGATCTTTCTTAGAATAATTTTTGGGATTCTTTTTAAATATTAATTCATATAAACCTTCGGTTCCCTTAAAACTTTTATTTTCAGTGATAAAATCGCTATTATCACCAAAGTCTATAACACTTTTTCCAATTAACCATTGATTTAATGTGGGATTGTAAGTCACCCCATATGTTGTATCAAAATCTTTTTTATTCCCACCATTTATATATTGATTTAAATATTGGCTTGCTAATTTTGGATAATTATTAAGGTAGTCATCATTTGCAGGTGAAGAGATATCACCACCATCATCACCATCACCACCATCATCACCATCATCACCATCATCATCACCATCATCATCGTCATCATCTTTTATTGGTTTGGTTATAGGTTTAAATAATTTATTTAATCCAACATCGGTTTCTGATTTCCCCAATTTAAGAGCTAAATATTTTTTTCTTACATTTCGAGAGAGTTCATTAATTTGTTTTGTTACATTGGAAGTCGATGTGGCCATGATTACAAATGATGTTAAATTTACTTGTTTTACATATTTATATATTTATCAAACCCCTTTCAATAACGTCAAAAGTTTAAACGAACATCTTTTATAATAGCTAAACAACCATAATTCTCACTCCAACATTCTGAGCATATTTTCTTAAACTGATCATAAGGCATATCAGGTGAGACATGTTCATCAAATACATGTTTTAAATTTATATCATCCTGTCTAAATAGCACAATAATATTACAATTATCACGTATTAATTGTTTTGGTATTTTTGAATATGTTTGACATAAGTATGCAGCGTCTATGTTTTTATGTCTACACATTGAATAGTATTCGCGTATTTTATTTTGTTTATCACAAGCTACATCATCAAATATGAAAATTGAATTGTTTCGAGCTTTCATAGGTTCAATTATTTCATCATTATCTTTATGTGGAAAATACCCCACACCTTTTACTTTGCTTAAAACATTTTGTAATAATTGATATTTTGGTTGGAAAAAAGATTTTGAATAAACGAAAATATTTTCAAATTTAGCTCCATTAGCATTAAATATTAAACTTAATAAAGCATTTGTTTTACCACATCCGGGTGCACCCACTAGGACCACAAAAAATTGCTCTAAAGGAATTTGGTAGTTAATTACCATGTTTACTAGCATCAGAACTGGTTTCAAATAAATCTATTTATAGGTAGTTTTTCGGGTTGTTGGGCGCAACGCATTTTAGGAAATGAAACTCAAATAGTTTTGTTAAGGAATAGATAATAAAGTTTATTCAATTAATTTTACAACAGTACGTAATGTTTGGTAACTTATTTAACACCTCATTAGCTTCTTTCACATAAAATGAAACCATACAACATGGACATGTATCTGGACCTTCATCAGAATTTGACCAGGGACACGTCTCAAAATGTTTACCATACTGGTTATTTACAATCTTAGCATTAAGATGCTGCTCCAAAAATTCTTTTTGACTAACCCATTTTTTAATTTTTTCCTTTTTCAAAAATTCTCGATATATTTCTTGTTGAGTAGGATATTTATTTTCAAATTTTTCTTTACCTTCTTTACCACATTTTTCCAAAAATTTATCAATATTTTGGATTGCCATTTCAATTTCATTTGCACTAATCATTATTATTGTACGATAATAATAAGACTGAATAATACTTTTTAAAAATAGACTAATAATATATCCAATTTTGGTGCTTTGAAGGTCACAGGTTTTGGCGGGTATATATTTTAAAATAATAAATATCTGAGGTCAGAAATTCAAAATGGCGTCAAAAATGAAATTTATATTATTAATTCAAATATATCATTATCTCTAAAAATTTGACGTCACAATTCAAAATGGCGTTAAAAATTAAATTTATATTATTAATAATAAATCCTTATCTCCAAATAGCGGATGCCAGGTGACCAAACCACTGTTAAGTCACGCCCTTATCACCAGTTTCCTTTCCCTTATCTCTAGTTCGAAATTTTTGTATCGCTTATCTATAGGTGGCCTTCGGAAAACAGCGCTACCAACCCAACGCGTTACGTCACATGTCTAGGTCACTTCCGGCGCCGTACTCTCTTTGCATCTCTACTCTGAAAGAAACTGGAAAAGTATACAAAACTTTCCATACCAGATGAGTCTACAGTTAGAAAAAATTATTTGCCAAAAGTGTATTTGGAAACCGTTAAAAAAATTCAAAGAGAAATTGGTGACAACTATATATGGGTTGCAATTGACGAGACCACTGATTCTGCAGGTCGATATGTGGCTAATGTAATTGTTGGTGCGTTAATGGATAAACAATCTCCTGCGTATTTATAACAACACAGTGCTTGCAAAAAACTAATAGTGCCTCAATTGCTAAAACATTTAATGATTTTTGTGTGGCCAACTGGTATTAACTATGAAAAAGTGCTACTGTTAGTCTCAGACGCTGCACCTTACATGGTTAAGGCCGGCGCAGGGTTTAAATTAATGTACAGCAAGATGATACACTTAACATGCTTAGTGCATGGTGTACATCGCGTAGCAGAAACAATAAGAAGTTTATATCCTACAGTAAATACCATCATTTCAAACGTGAAAAATGTTTTTGTGAAAGCACCTAGTCGGGTCGCTCATTTTAAAAAGATGGAACCTGATTTGCAATTGCCTCCACAACCAATTCTCACTAGATGGGGAACTTGGCTAAATGGTGCCTTTTATTATGCAGACAATTTTAAAAAGATCCGGGAAATACTCGAAAGTCTAGATGAGGACGATGCAGCATCAATAGTCGATGCTAAGAAAGCAATGTCTACAAGAGGAGTAAAAGATGACCTAGTATATATAAAATGCCATTTTCAGTTTTTAATTCAGACAATTGCAACATTAGAAACAAAAGATCAGTCGCTGTCAGTTTCTTTAAATATTATTAAAACTTTATATCAGAACATCGAGAAGGCACCTCGCAAAGTAGCAAAAGAAGTTTTAAAAAAGATGAAAAATGTTTTAGAGAAAAATCCTGGGTATGAGAAATTAGTTAAAATAAATAAACTTTTAAATGGTGACTGACCCATGGAATTAGAAGACTTCAATATTAAGGATATAGTTGCGTTTAAGTATGCTCCTGTAACATCTTGCGACGTCGAGCGAAGCTTTTCAATTTATAAGAATATTTTAGCTGACAATAGAAAATATAAGAATACAACTTGTTATACATTGTAATGCTAATATATTATGAATAAATTATTATTATTATTATTATAACATACTCTTTTTATTGACTGACTTATGCTAGATATGTATATATTTTTACATCAATAAATTCTATCCTATTATTATAACCGCATATTTTTTTAAATTTAAGCGCATATTTCGGTGTTTTGAAGGGAATATATATAGCATATTTTTGACTTTTTAAGAGCATAAAAATCCGAACCCTACTTATCACCTATTTCTCCTTCTGTGGTATTCTCACACGACGTTTCTAGAAGAAATAATAAGGCCTCTTTAGTAATAAAGGAAAGAACGTCTATTTACATCCCTATTTCTAAAACATTAAAATTATGGAGTGGAGTGTTTAATAAAATATTAGATTATCATAAATTTACCTATGACCAAAAATCATTTTTAAATAAAGATGCTGACAATGCAATAATTTAAAAAAATATATTAGATGGATACATTTGGAAAGATGTTTTACAAAGAAAATTTGTGTCTCCCCCATATTTTTTGACGATTTTGAGGTGTGCAATCCATTAAAGTCCCATGCTGGTGTATATAAACTTGGTGAAGTTTATTTTACTATATCTTCCTTACCACCTGAATATGCAAGTCGTCTAGAAAACATATTTCTTGCATTGATATTTTATACTATAGAAAGAAGCGAATTTGGAAATCAGTCAATTTTTAAAGAATTGCTTGAATCATTAAAAGCTTTAGAATCTGAAGGCATTGTTATTAAAAAAGACAATAAATTACTAACGGTCTATTTCAATGTGACCATAATAACCAGTGATAATTTAGGAGTACATACCATTTTTGGTTATGGTCAATGTTTTTCTTCCGGATATTGCTGCAGATTCTGCTTTAGCCTCAATCAATACAAAAAGCACAAACAAAATTAAATAAAAACAAAGAAGTCTAGAAAACATGTATTTAAAACATGAAGCATATAAACAATTCAACATAAAAGAAAACTGTATTTGGAACAATTTAGATACCTTTCATATTTACAAGAATGACTCTGTATACCTTATGCATGATGTATTTTGAAGGTGTATATTGGTATGATGTCGCTTATTATAAAGTTTCAGGAAGAATGTTTTTCTTTACAAACATTAAATTCTAGAATTCGATATTTTGAATAGGTAACACATACAAAACGAAATCATCCTATTTTCTTCATTAGAAATGTTATGCAATAAATAATAAAATATGGAAATTTTATTTATCCTTACTGGAAATAACAGACATTTTAATAGCAATTGAGATTAGTCTATTTGAAATCGATAATCTGGAAAAGCTAATAGAAAATCATTTAAAAATGTACCTTGATTTATTTCCTAATAGGAAACTTAAGCCAAAACACCATCTCCTATTACATTATTCTAATACAATCAGAAATACTGGACCTGTATCAAAGACTCATTCCTCCGTTTTAAAGCTAAACACAGAGAGCTGAAAAAATTTGCCAACAATGTTGAAACAAGAAAAAATATTCCACTTACCTTGGGGTATTTCGGCGAAACCTTACCCCACCTTGACAAAAACGGATGTGTTATTTAACAAAATAAAAACTATAACTAAACTAAAAATAGTTTAAATGTGACGTTATTTATAACCTTAAAATATTCGTACATTGTGATGCTAAAAAGCTAACATTAATAATAAACACGGAAGAGTTTCAATACTCGATAAAATGTTAAAATGTCGCACCCGTTACATTTTGAGAAAATTTTAGAAAATAAAGTTTACAATATTTGTGCACTTAAAATAGGTGCTTGTTTAAAGTTAGTATTCAAGTTTTATACAACAAATTATTACTATATGCTTTCATTCAAAAATTTACAATATCAACTTTAGAAGCGAACTTGGTCGCATTTGCCGATGGTTGAGTTGGTCGCGCCCGTTACGCGATTCATGACGTTATAAAAGGTTTTCTATACAAGTTTTTATTGACATTTTGTTTTAGTTAAATATCTTATTTTTTATACTATTTTTTATATTAACGTATCTTGATATATTTGAACAAACACTTTATTATCATAAAAAAACGCAGGTCAGTGTCGCACCCGTTACAATGGAAATACCCCTTGGTTAAAAGGGTACAATGACAATTTGCTTGCAGGTGCATGTCAAAAATTGGATTGGAAGATAACATAGATTTTGGAAAGTAAATCAGTATTGATCAAAGTTTTCATTCATATAATTTTAATCATGATTTTGATAGGCTAATTTTTTTTTAAAACTGTTTTGAGGTAAAATGGTATAATAAAAATGGAATACAATATATCGGTCAAGAAATAATTTGTTACGATAAACAAATTCCTCGATTAGGTTTACTAAAGCATATATTTTTGGGACGAGAAAATCCTATCCACTGCTATTTAATTTGTCAAATTATGCAAATAGTAAATTTAAATTCTCATTATCGCGCATTCGAGATCACCCCTACAAACGAATTCATTTGTCATGACTTAAAAAACAATAGTTTTCAAGGATTTCCAACTCAGCTTTGGCAGATTCAAAACGTAAAATTAATTCCAGTTTAGGTGATCACCCCTTTATCCGAGAAACAATATTCTACCATATTTTTACTAATTTACTTTCTTAAGGAGTAAACTCGTTAATATCTGATATATTTTTATGTTAAATCATTGATATATTTTAAAGAGTTAGGTTACCAGCTTTTGGTTAGCTTCACTGTTTGTATATAGGGTTTATAGTTATGTTTAGTTTTTTAATAAAAAAATAAAATTAAATACAAAAGTTGAATCATCGAAAATGTTAAATAAAAAGTAAAAATGTCAAAAATTGACAGCTACTCAGTTTATATTTTTAAATAAAAGCCCTATATTACATTTTTAAATTATGCAGCAAATTCTTAACACATCGAGTATAACATCCCATGCCTACCTTCAACCATTTTTGTTATCACAATGAAATAAATGACAATTTTTACACTTTGACGGGCTGTATGTAAAATCTAAATGGTTTGAGATAAAGCAAAAGGATTGGCACTTCCTCTATCTTTACCATTCAAAAGCTATTGAAGCTTGGAAATCTTGTAAAAAGTTATATAGGAAACTGTTCTTAAACCTGAAATCTGAAATATCAGAAAAGGTATTTGGGCATTTAAATGAAATAAAACACAAGTTACGCTGTATACGACGTATATTGAATTAATGAATTATAAAAACTCACACACATGGTAAGAGGTCTCCAAAGGAAAAAAGCCAGATAGCTTCTCCTACAGCTTCAAATATTAATATATATTCGGCTTCTGTAGAGGAATTCGCTACTGAGTTTTGTTTACGGCTATTCCAGCTAATAGTACAATTATAAAAAACTTGAAATAAGTAGCCAAATGTACTTTTTCGATCATCTTGACTGCCAGCCCAATCTGCATCAGCATAACCACATAAAATACTATTATGATAATCACCCTTAATATAGGTTAATTTATGATTCATTGTGCCTTTTATATAAAGCAAAATTCGTTTTAGACACTTCCAGACTTCTGGATTATTTTTAGATTGATATCGACTTAACACATTTACTGCCACACATAAATCTGGTCTAGTACACAACATGGCATACATTAAACAACCTAACAAATTTCTACAGGGTGAATCACAAACTTCTTCTGAATTTAATGCCGTAAAATCTAACTTTGTAAATAAAGGTGTTTCTACAGGTTTACAGTCTGATATATTAAATTTAGATAAAACTTTATTTAAATAAACTGATTGATCAAGGGTTATTTTATTTTTTAATCTGTTTACCCTTATACCCAAAAACAGCTTAATTTCTTTTAAGTCTACCATTTGAAAACCGGCCATTAAATAACTTTTAAAACTTGATAATGTGTTAGCATCGTAAGTGGCAATTAATAGATCATCAACATAAAGGACTAAATAAATATTTTGCCGAATATCTGATTTATCTAAAATATACAAACAATGATCAACGTTTGAATTATTAAAACCCCTTGTTTTAAGCGTGTCATCAAAACATTGAAACCAACATCTTGACGATTGTTTTAAACCGTAAAGTGCTTTATTTAATTTACACACCTGGTCTGGTTTTGCAGTCACACCATCTGGTACTCTCAAATAAATATCTTCTTTAAGAGTTCCATTTAAAAATGCTGTTTTTACATCCATATGATAATAATAATAATAATATCTCTATTCATCCAGTAGATCAAATCAAGATATAGGACAAGTCAACAAAAAAAATTACATTACATTACCTAAACCATTAAGAAAATACAACATACAATGAAACTAAATACAGAAAGTACAATATTTTATAATCAGTTAAATATGACACTGCAAATAATCATTTTTAATGTTTTAACATCCATAGATTTGTCCATGTTTTCCACTGCATCATAAAATGCACTATCACTGTCGTACGTTTGCGATTCACAACATATTATGCCCGTTTCGACCGTTTTAACATTTGTACATAGATTCGCACAACTTTGGTGAAAAACATTTGTACACTTTTCACATTTAAGTCCAGTTATTACTTTAGCTTTACATCTTTTACAGGAGCGAGAGCCAGTGGCACTTGCTACGCTCGCCATGTTCGGTATTATATATATATATATATATATATATATATGTATATATATATATATACACAATATATACATATTAGCAATAAAACAATTAAAATATCTTAAAATTAAGGTGGTATAAAAATACTCGGACAAGCAGAGTTAACAAATAGTATAAAACATCATTGGAGTATAAATAAATATAATACAATTAGATCAAATTACATTGAAAGAACTGCCATTTTATAAAATGTTTTTTGGATTAAAAGATTTTTTAATTTGA